ATACAATAAATGTATGTATTCATTGTATCATGCGTTTATATTAGGGCTCGAAATTATGTTATGACTAGACATAATTATTCGCTTTTTGAATATTCGAATACTCGAATTATTCGAGTTTCATTCCGAGCCCTAGTTTATACGATGTGTTTCGGATAACGGATAATAGTAAATATGAAATTTACTATTTTCCCAGTTTACTGTTTACATTCCGCAAATTTAAAGTAACGTTTGCATTTAAAAATAATTAACATGCCATGTTCTCGTCAAAAAAGTGAATGGGTGTTTTAGAGAACATAATAACACTTCTGCACTTATATAAAACAATACTAATTAACGAATGTCTGATTTAAAAAAAATTAGTTTCCCGATTCGTTCAGAGGGCGACAAAATTCGACATTCTGTGATCTGTGGTGAGCTGTCTATCGATCAGACGCATGGCGTAATTGTTCGGTAATCTGTGGATGTAATGACGTGGAGTTTAAGATGTGGAGGTTTTAAGTTTTATTCTTCATAGTTTTTTAAATAATTCGTTCTGTTGATTGATGAAATTCACCAGTCTTGTTTAAAGGTAAATACACTTCATTCCCATATTTTCACCGCTAATTTGAACTTCTACCATGCAGTATTTCTGTTTTAAAGTGCAATACATATTTGTGTTATTGACTAATTATCACTTGCTTACAATGTGTTTCGGGGCTTACTTTTAAAGCCCTGATAGTGTTTCATATGTTATGAACATTTGTCCAATACCAACCCTTAAAATCCACATTTATTTACGAAAATTTCGTTGTTCTTCCACTTTGTACAGATGGCTACGTATGAAGAATATATCCATCAAAACGAAGAACGTGATGGCATTCGTTTAACGTGGAATGTTTGGCCCTCCAGTAGAATTGAGGCCACCCGTCTTGTGGTACCTCTAGCTTGCCTCTATCAGCCCATCAAAGAACGTCCAGACTTACCCCCAATTCAATACGATCCAGTGCTGTGCACTAGAAGTAATTGCAGAGCCATTCTAAATCCATTGTGCCAGGTGGATTACAGAGCGAAATTATGGGTCTGTAACTTCTGCTTTCAGAGAAACCCCGTAAGTAGCATCCTTGGAACGAATTAAATACGCCCTGTAAGGACAACCGTATACAAAGTGGTTCGAGCCAAGATGCGGTGGAAGATTATAGTAACTGGTGTGTAGTTGTATATTGGCATCCATAGTGCCCATCCGTTAAAACAATTTTCGCCACACAGGGTTTTCAAAAATCCTTGGCATATGAAGCTTATGTTTTTTTAACGGAACCATCAATGTGTCGCAATTGGTTCTCTTTCAAATAAGGATAATTTTGTTGTAATATTTATTGGGTCTGCTGCGGCGCTACGGAGGATGGAGTGTGGCTCCACAAATTCTCCAACCACCGTCAAGGACATAGAAGCCGCTATGAACCGGGACAAGGCGTTCCATTTAAAAAAAGTTTGCTTTGGCACAAATTTTTGGGAACACCCTGTGTAACAAAACTAATTTTATTAGATGGTCAATATTGCATAAAAAATAATTTCAAAATTACACACCATTTAGTTATTTTCTTCCACCCTGTCTTGGTTACACCACCTTGTATATTTTAATCTCATTAAAGCTTATATTTGGATGAAATTCTATGTTTAGTTTCCACCTCAATATGCTGCAATCTCTGAGCAACATCAGCCTGCTGAGCTGATGCCAATGTTCTCCACCATAGAGTACACGATTTCAAGGGCTGCAACTATGCCCCCAATTTACCTCTATGTGGTGGATACTTGCATGGATGAGGAAGAGTTGAATGCATTGAAAGACTCTTTGCAAATGTCCCTCAGTTTGTTGCCTCCTAATGCTTTGATCGGTTTAATTACTTTCGGAAAAATGGTGCAAGTCCATGAATTAGGTTTGCATAACAATCAATTAGAGTTAAAGTTCGTAAAAACTACGAGCTGTATTCATTCTAGGAACTGAAGGAATGAGCAAATCGTACGTTTTCCGCGGTACAAAAGATTTGAATGCAAAACAGATCCAAGACATGCTAGGCATTGGAAAAATTGCCCCGAATCCCCAAGGGATGCCAAACCCTAATCTAAGACCTGGTCAACCAGGGGCACCAGTTCAGGCACCAGTGCCTCCAGCCAGCAGGTTTATTCAGCCAGTATGTAACCAAATGTTGCAAAAGCATTATTTTTAAATTTGCCGACTCCATAGGTTGCAAATTGCGAGATGAATCTAACCGATCTTATAGGAGAACTGCAAAGAGATCCGTGGCCGGTTCCACAAGGAAAAAGGTTTTTAAGATCAACTGGAGTGGCTTTATCAATAGCCATAGGCCTTCTAGAATGCACATATGCCAATACAGGCGGTAGAGTTATGCTCTTTGTGGGCGGACCGTGTTCTCAAGGTCCCGGTCAAGTCTTGAATGATGACCTTAAGCAGCCCATCAGGTGAAAAATTGGATTTATGAATTTACTATGGGCTTAATGAAAAACGTCGAATTTAAAGGTCTCATCACGACATCCATAAAGATAATGCCAAGTACATGAAAAAAGCAATTAAACACTATGATAACTTAGCGACAAGAGTAGCTACTAATGGGCATTGTGTTGATATTTACTCATGTGCTTTAGACCAGACTGGACTAATGGAAATGAAACAATGTTGCAATTCCACAGGGTGAGTTGCGTTATAAATCATATGCAATCTTGACTTTGATTGCTTTCTATGTTTCTCCAGAGGTCATATGGTAATGGGAGACTCTTTCAATTCATCATTGTTTAAACAAACTTTCCAGAGAGTTTTTGCTAAAGATCAAAATGGGCAATTGAAAATGGCCTTTAATGGTACTTTGGAAGTAAAATGCTCTAAAGAACTGAAAGGTGACTTAATAAGATTTTGTACGAATCTTTGTTTTTAATGATGAGTGTTTAGTTCAAGGAGGCATAGGGTCTTGTGTTTCCTTAAATGTGAAGAGTCCTTTGGTAGCCGATACTGAAATCGGCATGGGAAATACAGTGCAATGGAAACTGTGTACTTTCAATCCTAGCACAACAGTCGCTTTATTCTTTGAGGTGGTCAATCAACATACTGCACCCATTCCGCAAGGTGGAAGAGGTTGCATCCAGTTTATCACACAATATCAGGTACGTGCACATGGTGATTACAAGTAATTCGGTTCTGTGATTAATGATTGATATTTTAAAAGGTGCAGCATCGACAGGAAAAGTTTCGCTATGTTTTCATGCATGCAGTAGCGTAAAAAAGACTCCTTGCGGCCTAAGTACAATGGCAATACAAAGAAATGTTTTGCACCATATTGCCCATTGAATTAGAGCTAAGATGGTTTAATTATGCGCTCTTGATTACTTTTTGATCAATTCGTTCTTTATTGTGAAATAAAAGCTATCAAACTGTAGTAGAAGAACGTGAAGAAATTCTTGACAAATATTTGAGACAAATTCCCAACAAAAAGATTTTGAAATAATCTTGAATGTTACCAATTTAATGTTTAAAGCATATTCAACAAACGATGAGCACTTATCAATTAAACATAATTTATCTTGTACCTTTTGAATAAACTACTGCAAGATTTGCATTCATTATTTCAAATTTCTTAAACTGTTCGTTTTCAATCTTTATCTTTTTGCAGTTAACATTAAATTATCTTATAGCGTGTCGGACTGATTTGTTCATTTTGAAATTCCTACTAACCCCTCCGAAAGGATTACTTTATGGGAAGGTTTATTGCAAACGGACTCATTAATCTTATGGAAAAAATCACGTAATTTCAATTGGCGTTTATAAACGGAAATTCACTATAACCGTTTAATCTCCATCTCCACTGTATTTCCGTTTGAACACTAGTGAATATCTTTCAGCATGCTAGTGGTCAGCGACGTATTCGAGTAACAACAATAGCAAGAAATTGGGCAGATGCAGCTGTTAATATTAATCACATCAGTGCCGGATTTGACCAAGAATGCGCAGCTGTTATTATGGGAAGAATGGCAGTTTTTAGGGCTGAAACCGACGAAAGTCCTGATGTGCTCAGATGGGTGGATAGAATGTTGATACGTTTGGTAAGTGGTTAGACGCTGCATTTGGTACCATTAAAAATTTGCTGTTTAGTGTCAGAAATATGGAGAATACAACAAAGACGATCCAGCGTCATTCAGATTAGCTGAGAACTTCAGTCTTTATCCACAATTTATGTATCATTTGCGACGGTCGCAGTTCTTGCAGGTGTTCAATAATTCACCAGATGAAACTTCATTTTACAGGTAAAAAGTTCCATAAAGTACAACGTATCGATTTTAATTTGCATGGGTTTGTTTGTTATTCTTTTTAGGCACATGCTGATGAGGGAGGATTTGACCCAATCTCTCATTATGATTCAGCCTCTTTTGTATAGCTACAGCTTCAATGGGCCTCCAGAACCAGTTCTTTTGGACACCAGCTCAATTCAGCCCGACAAAATTTTGCTCATGGATACCTTCTTCCAAATTTTGATTTTCCATGGAGAGGTGCTGAGTTTGAAAAAGCTTTATTTTTGATAGATTACTTATTTTTCTTAAATTTTGCAGACTATAGCACAGTGGCGCAACTTGAAATACCAAGATATGGCCGAATACGAGTACTTCCGTCATTTGCTTCAAGCTCCGATAGACGATGCTCAGGATATTTTGCACACTCGATTCCCCATGCCACGGTACATTGATACCGAACAAGGTGGATCGCAAGCACGTTTCCTACTATCTAAAGTCAATCCCAGCCAAACCCACAACAACATGTATGCGTATGGAGGCGTAAGTTTTTTCCGTAATAATAATAATGGTCATTGTCTTGTTTTCATTCATTCAAAGTTTCTCATTGAGTGTTCAAATGTGTGCGTTTTTTATTCTAAATGTTTATTTTTGTTTCATGTGTTTTTGTGTTCCTGCACTATAGGCGATCATGACCGGTCAAAATGGGGTAAATGTTCACATACTTTATGGTTTCGGTATTTCTTTGGGACTTAGCTTTGTATATATTTGATGAAACTAAACACTGGTTCGGTATACACAATGTATCTACAAACACACTTGTTACATAACTTAACTACCTAAGTTGAAATGTAGAATACGTTTTAGATAGTTTTGAGTGGGTACTTCACTAACTTTTTTAGATGGGGGAAGTAAGGTAGGTAATGCATTCCATGGGGTTTCCTTGCAGCAAAGTTCGCGCAAAGCGTAGATTCGCTTCAGTGACTCGAAGTCGAAAAAATATTATATTGTAACTTTTATAACATAACATTTATTGGCCAGTAGTATACAATGCAGTCAACAAWTTTTTTTTATAACTTAATAAAAAAACAAGGTTTCTAAAGGGCATAAGTGCTTAGATATKTAAAAAAATATTCCAATGTTGGGCTCCCTTAAGAGAATAATTTTATTAACAAGAATCCTATTCACAAGAATAACTGCTATTGTATGTATGTATATAAATGTAACTGATCTTTACAGGACTCTGGTGCACCTGTGTTAACTGATGATGTATCTCTGCAAGTTTTCATGGACCACCTTAAAAAACTGGCCGTATCGTCTACAGCGTAAGATTTGTATGAAGTTATCATCTAGTAAACGTTTCTTTTAAGACATAGTAGAGTTGCGGAGAAAAAGGTGTGTAAATTTTAGAAGTTCAACTTATCCCCATGTTAAAATGTAAGACCAAATTCGCTAGATGAAATTGCAATGTAAAACATTCGTGTTTTATTGTAAATGAATTATTATTGAACTACTGTTACTTTTAGAAGTCGTTTGTAATAATTCAGCTCTATGTAATTGTAAACTAGTCTATGTTCGCCGATTTTTTATTTTGTTGCTATATTATTTTCACAAATATAAGATTTATATGTATAAACCAAAAAGATTTTTAATGGCGTATACTAAGTATTATAATTATCTACAATTTATCTACCTATTGAATATGAGTAACTTGAAAGAGTGTTAGTCACTGCTTAATTAATTCTAGGAGAAGCTGCCGCGCCCTTGGCAATTGCACAAAAATTAATTGTATATAAAAATATAAAATTTGGTAACTTATTTTAATCATGGTGCTCACATCTTAATTGAGAAATCGAATGCTCATTTTCTGTTCCACATCAGTCCTATTAAGCGCTTTGCAAAATTCTTCAAAAGATATCATTTGATCACCATCTTCATCCGCTTCCAATATCGTGCGCTCTGCAATACTTGTCAGCTGTTCTTCACTTATATTGGTACCGACCATCATGTGAAGAATAGCCAATAGTTCATCTTTTGATATCAAATCATCATTATCCAAATCATAGAGTTTGAAGGCGACTGAAAATATCAAAGATAGATCGGGCATGTATTTAATACTAAGTTTGTACAGTAAAACTGGTAAGTAATATCTCCCACCACAGCAGAAAGTATTATCCTTCTCGTGAAAGATACCCAAACAAACGCTGCTAGAATTGCTAAGCCTGCTAAGCCTTGCTGCCCTGCTATTGCTGCATACAGGCTAAGTTTTTTATAAAGTGACATACTAATAGACGGTTATACTTTGTTTGGAAAAGAAAAACTACTGGGTATTCTGAAATATTTATACATTAATCGAATACAAAGTTAAAAGAATGACGCTGATTTTGAATCCTCCGATATACAAGGTGTTTGGTAAGTAGATACATTTTTAAATTAGTATTACGCAAATGGTTTAGAAGTTTTTAATGAATTTGTTTCCGGTTTTTACAGCTGTAAGATAATAAATTTGCAGTGGCAACTCTTTTTTCATGTATCTATTAACGTTTATTTGTTAATAAAAAGCTGTATCAGATAAAAGCTTAATTGCAGCGTGTGGAACGACAAACAGTACAATTAATCGAATAATTTTAATTCGGAAATTGGCTTTACTATTTTTCTCTCAGGGCAAAAATGTTATTTTAAAGTAATTGTTGAAACGTTCTTTTACAGGAAAGAAGTGAAAACTAGGACTTATCAAAAGTGTTTTGTTTTCAAAGATAATAATCCAAACTGCTATCTGCATTGAATGCAAAATTTTCAACAGAATGCACCCAAATCTTGTCCTGTCTTGATAATGCATTTATTCGAACGTATTTTAAGCAATTTAATTACTACACTATACTTACATTTCAATTTCTCATCTCTGGAATTCAATTTATTCTCTTTGTTCTTCTTCACAGGCCTGAAGTGGGCCAACACTTGCATGAACTGTCGAAAATTCACCCTGTCTGTAAATTCGTCCCCTTGGAAAAAGGCATTTACTATCCTTTCGCCTAGGGGATTGATGGCCAGCTCTGGAATCCTTAGAAAATCGTCTCTGGATAGCGTTCCACAATCATTTCTATCCAATGCAGTGAATCTTGAATAGAGTCTTTCTATTTGATTAGGAGTGACTAGAATTCAATCACCGCTGTAAGTTAGGTTTAACTGCGTATTTTACTTATAGAAATGAGGTGTAATCTTATACCGGGGCTTTTTTTAAAGAGTTTTCAGTCTGCATTGTTGATTACAGTTTGTTACATCCATACTCACATCCAGTTTCTTGTTGAATTTGCGCAATTTCTTCTTCACGCAACAATAAAGACGCTCTATTTCCCATTTTCACAAAAATGTACTTGATTCTCACCTGTAATTATAGCAAAATATTAATTAACAACCTTTATGAACCTTGTATTGCTGTATTATGAACTTCGAGTTTCGATCAGCTGTGCTGATGTCATGTGGCATGTGGGTCACTCAGCGTTGCCCGTGTTGCTAGTTCACTCCAAATGTAGTAGTTCCACTTAGAAACGTACCGAAAAAAAAGTAATAAAATGCTGCTCCTTCAATATTTTACACTAAAACAGTAATCGAGATGGTCATATTTTAAGAAAACAAACAAAACATTTTTTTATCAGAAATCGAGTTATTTCAAATTTTGTTATATGTGAATTCAAAATCGACCCACTTTTTCATGAGTTTTATTACTTTACTCTGCGAGTTTTTGAAGAAATTTTCAATTTAACATGGTTCAAAAGTGGGTCTAACGAAGCTACCGGCCATGTGAGCTGTTAGCTAATCTTGCTCAGAAAAATCAATTAATTCAATTCAGTTCAATTGGAACATGCAATCAAAATTAACATTTACTTCTGATTGAAACTAGCAGGATCCAACCGTCGTTTCCTCAAAATTTGTTAATAATAGAGCTTTTTGAAATTCAAATTGATTTGGCGATACACATGTATTGGAAATTCGAATTTACTCGAAAATTGTTCAGTTTCATTCACTGGAAACATCTTCAATACTGCCCCACAGTTACCTGCTAAAAAGATTCGATCTTTCAAAGATTTTGAATCCTCCGAAACCCCATTACAATTTTTTTCTAGATAATTATCTCCAGGTTTAATACGAGCGAGAGACTTTTAACATGCATACCAAGATTCATCCACTTACCTTCTGTTGTTAGTAGATTGAAAAATACTCTTTAAGAAATTGCTCCTCTAAGAGCCGTTATCTCCACTAGGCGACACTTTTCGTCTTTTGTGACTCTACATTTTCGTAGAGTTTTTTGCAATTGATCTACTCTGTATACATATTTCCTAAATTGCTTGATTAATGAGATCCCCTGGGTGTTAATTTTTTGAAATATTACGTCGAGTTTAGGTTTATTGCAAATGAACTCCATCTACGGGAAATGTAGAAATGTAAGAGCATAAAAAATCTTTACTTTCTTTCGAAGCTCCCAAACGGTGTATTAACTAAAATAGAAAATTAATCAAACTTATTTTAACAAGTTCATATTCCTGTTCGCATAAACTTTGTCTTTTAAAAACCGCACAAAATAATCTAACAGCATCCATGTTGATTAGCGAAAACGACAAAAAAATATTAATCTTCAACAGTCTGTATCTGGAAACCATGCAATTCAGGAAATATTTAAATACGCAATTTTTTCAGGAGATCAGAAAACATGACTCATTGAAGGATGTTTCCGCAAAACCTGGTCCGCCCTGTATATTGCCTCCAATAATTATTACAAACACCATCTTTTCACGGGGTTTCAATGGAAATAATTTAAGATTCTTTAAATACCATAGATTTCAAAAAAGCTAACATTTTCTCCCTTTGAATGATTGCGTTAAAAAAATATTTTTCAATTATTGGCAGATAAATTTAGCAAATTAGTCAATGTCATTAAAATGCTACAAGGAACAAATTAGGGGGCAATTTAAATTCAATACAATGCACCAAGCCAAACAAGTAAAATAACCGTGGGCAATGGGTTGTAAGGGCAAAGACAAAACATCTACAGACGCTTACCGCAGCTCGTGTCATTCAAAAGTAAGTACGAGGAACAACATTTAAAAAAACATTTCACTGATTACTTTTTCTTCAGGCGAGAAACCAAGAAAAGCAGTCACTCACTGAGTGTCAATGTGCTCAGGTCTTCGACAATTCCTTCCCATTCAAAGACTTACCACCACCTGCACCCCCAGATGGGCGGAGCGATCTATGGGACTTGCAGTTTTGTCGCTGGTGGGGTTGGAATTGGGTGAGAAAACGAGAGGCAATAGTAGGAGCTGAAGCTAAATCTGGCCCTCCTAAGCGACCGTGTTTATCAGCTAAATACAGGTGGACCAAACGAGATTTGATCGTTCAAAAATCAAAGAAATTTAATGAACAAATCTTTTTCTTATCAGGGAAACTATCAAAGAGGACGGCAGAACATCTGTATGCCCCACTTCCAAGAAAACTTGCTTCCTAAGCAAAGATCCGGAAACAAGATTTTGCAACCCATCACCACTCACCCCAAAGGAGCAGTTTAAGGCAATGTGCAAGTGTTTGTTGGGCAAAAAGAAAACACCCAGCGAAATTGGAAAGTTATATAATACGCCTTCTGCAAGCATGATGGCCTTCCAGAAGCAGGAAAGGTAAGCTGGCATTTGCCGCCCTTTCCAGCATCTCCTACTCTGGAAAAAATTGGTTTCTCATTCCTCACGATATATTGAAGGCTCAGCTATGGAGTTGGGGACCGATCGATTCAACAGCCTTGCAAAAATCCAGAAAAGTGCGATAGGAGGTCGAAAAAAGAAAAAACCAAGGAATTTCCCAGAGTAAGTTGGTATATCCAGAACAAGCGGGGATTTTTACCGGGTTTTACTTTGGACAAATTCGCATTTTAGTATCGGTTTTATTGCATGTATTAGATATAAAAAATAATAAACTATTTAATAAACCTCAAGGTAACATCTTTGAACAAGCCACTCGAAGAATCAACAACACCTTGTTCCGAGCAATCATCAACCGATAGCGTCGTGTGCGAATCGCTTTATAGTCATAAGAAAGAATCCAGCACCGAAGAAAGCGTTGAGTATTTAACCGTGAGACTTCAGCATATCACCAGCAATACGTGCCCATGCCAAAAGCAAAATAATTTTAATGTACAGGTAAGCCATTACAACCCGTTGCTTCATCAGTCTATTTTCAGGCAAATGATTTTCCGTAGGAGCAACCAGTGAAAGATGAGCCGCAAATAACTCCAGCTACATGCACGGACACCAAAGAAACCCAAACTCACTTAGTGCAACAGTCTGAGCAACAAACATCCGCGTCTATTGAACCAAGTACATGCCCTGAAAAGCTCATTAAACTGAAAGGAAAAAAGCACAAAACTATATGCATAATGGTATGTTGCTGTGGAACTTGCAAGCAAAACGGAGGCGAACATATTCAAAAATCTGCGGATGACACTATGAGCAAACCTGCGGAGTGTGTTTGCCCTCAATGTCCGAAACTTTGCTGGAAGGATCGGTCAGATGCTATCCAAAAACCCCCAGTAGAAAAAAATATATTGGAAGAATTTGCAACTTTTCCAATTTCAGTGCCATTAAACACGAAAAAGCTA